TTTATTCAGTAAAAAGACTACTGTGTCAAACATTTTGTTCAAATTGCAAACACTTGTATTAAATAAATTATGCAAACAAGATACATATAGTACTGTATATGACGTCAGTGTCAATTTATTCACTAGGTATTACTACGACATACATTCAAAATGATTGTAATAAATTGTCAATAATTTGTAAGTGAGAAAATAGTCTCAATATATAATCACAGTTATATCTAATAAATCATTTCATAGCTGCAGTCACCACGCATTTAAGATCTCTACTATGTATATATTTGTTCCTGTAATTTTTATATTCTTTCTATATTCTATGAAAAGTACCCCGTTTGTAACTATTAAATGGATAACTAAGTTATCAAACTTGTTATAATTTCTAAAATCCAATAGATCAATTAAGGTAATTCAGAGAAGTGCAGATAAATATAATTTACACTGATTAAATTGGTCGTTCAATTTCATACTTGCAAAAGTAATGTATTAAAAAGCATTAATATTCTATTTTGTACTTATTTAACAATATTTTATTTGCTCATATGATTTTGTTAATAATTGGTCAAAACCAGAATGAGACCAGTATTATATTGAACTGGTACAATATTACAACGTAAATGTGTTTTTTTCTCTAAAGTTACTATCAAATTGAAAAGAAAATACTTCAATTTACTTCCGAGATATGCGATAATTTAATTGTCAGATACAATTGCAAAAGTGGCACATAAGAGTCGAATCCACAATAGTTATCACGTAATTTAAATATATTCGGATCAACTGTTTAAATTTCATCAGTCACCAATCTGTGGACGTCAACATTTGTATAGCAATCCGTCTTCATCTTGTATGTGTTTCTCTTTCAGATGTTCTGGGTGAAAACAAGAAAGTACAATGTTATGAGCACAATGCTTATTAGTTATTTTAGCAGTCGTGTATTTTAATTGGTCCTAATAATCGTTCGTAAGAGTAAAATGTTATGTATGTTATAATGATCGTTTCATTGCATATATATACTATAACATGAACAGCCACAGAATACATTGTCTTTGTGAATAAAGTAGAAAAAAATATCATATAAATCGATGTAATCTGTAAATAAAAAGGCATTAGGCTCTGTATTTACCTTTGTCGTGTTTATTACCTCATATGTAGATTGTGTGTTTCTTGTTTCTGGTGAAAGGGAAGTATAATTACTGTCTTCAACGCTCTACAATCAAATATAATGTATTACAATATCAAATCAGTGACACCATCATAATTCATTTGGGCTATTAGTCATTTATTTGTATTAAATACTTCAATAATGTTTTACTTTGTTACTGTATGCGATTAATAACTGTTCTCTTACCTCATCTGTTTTCAATGTAGGTATTTTATATACATGTACTGCATCGTTAGTCATTGCAGAAAGTGTTGTATAATTATCACCTGAATCCGACATAGACTTTAAAGCAAAATACAGAATATCAACATAAAACCCTTAATTTAAACAATCACAACCACTTAAACAAATACACTCATACGTATTTCTACCGTTTATACGTAAATGTTGTTGCTGGTAACACTATCAAGTTTATCTGACAGGATTTTTTTTTTATTATTTATTAATATTTTGATCTAATTGTAATAGGAAATCTAAATAATTCCATGTGAATGGGTTATTGTATTCAAATAAATTGTCAATATCCACGATATGCACCACATAGAAAACATAGTTATTTACTCGTCATTATTTAACATAGAGCAAACCTGTTCAAGAGCAAAACTTCGCTTAAAACGTCTATGTATAATAAATGCGACAATATTGCCAGTCACTGAGCAACAAAGAAGAACTGTAAGTAATGCCGCCACGCTGACACATATGATACAAGGATATTGGTCAGTTTCTGTAAAAAAAATACGATGTGAATTGATCGAATAGTACGTCATAGTTTTTTACCATAATGACGATTGTTATCGTCATCTACATTACATATGTCAGATG